GAGGAGGAAGAGGTGGGCGTGGGGGCGGGCGGGGTGGCAGAGGAAGAGGTGGCGCAGAGCGTTTCCCACAGCGTATGGCTGCTGGTGGTCGTCAATTTGGTGGCCAATTGACTGGAGAAGACGATGCAGCTTCAGCCATCTCAGAAGCCCAAGGAGGATTACAAGCAGATGCACCAACTTTTCGGCCTGGCCAACCCATCGCCCCTCGCAAGTCGCGACCACCGCGTCAAAAGCAGCCGCAAGCCCCCAAATCGACCGCACCCGATATCGCCACTCGAACACACGAGGATATTGACAATGGACACTACGAATGCGCAATCTGTACTGAAGATGTCACAAGGCGCACCAAGGGTGTCTGGTCATGTAGGACGTGTTGGACTGTTTTTCATTTGGGGTGTATCAAGAAGTGGTCAACAAATGAAGGCTCGGCAGCAGCGCGACAGCAGACGCAAGATGGAGAGACGCCTCCCCCAAGGCAGTGGCGCTGTCCCGGCTGCAATTTACCAAAGGACACCCTTCCTAAGAACTTCCACTGTTGGTGTGAGAAGGAACTCGATCCGCGATCAACGCCTGGTCTGCCACCTTTCTCATGTGGTCAGACATGTTCACGACCCCGAGTTCTCCCCAAGCCTTGTCCACACCCTTGTGGATCGACATGTCATGCCGGTCCTTGCCCGCCTTGCGGGTTGATGGGCCCCACACAGCACTGCTTCTGTAGCAAGAAGTCAGTCACTCGTCGTTGTATTGATACCGATTACGAGCAAGGTTGGAGCTGCGGTGATGTCTGCGGAGGGCTGATGCCTTGTGGAGAACATCGATGTGAACGTCCATGTCACGATGGCCCTTGTGGCGCTTGTGAGGTACGAGTGCCAGCGCGATGCTACTGTGGGCAGAGCCAGAAAGACATCTTGTGTCACGACCGAGCAGAAGCGAAACAGAGTAGCCAATCTCATGTCGCCACTGATGGCAGTGCCACGGTAGAGACCTGGGTAGGATCGTTCCAGTGCCCCGATCTTTGCGGACGTTCTTTCGACTGCGGCAAACACACTTGCGAATTAGAATGCCACCCACAAGATACGAAAGCACCTCATTGCCCGAGATCTCCCGACGTAGTCACACGCTGCCCATGTGGCAAGACTGCCTTGCGCGACATGTCTAGCAAGCCACGAACGACATGCGAAGATCCGATACCGAATTGCGACAAACCTTGTGGCCAGACACTTGCATGTGGCCACAAATGTGAGCAGCTTTGCCATCAGGGCGAATGCCGGTCTTGCCTGAAAACCGTCGACATCTCCTGCAGATGTGGGCGCACTTCATCTAGAACCATCTGCCATCAGGGAATAGACGAGCCTCCCCAGTGCAGGCGTGTCTGCAAAGTATCCTTGAACTGCGGCCGTCACGAGTGTGGCGAGCACTGCTGTGCTGGGGAGAAGAAAGCTGCCGAGCGCCAGTCAAATCGCCGCAAAGGTAGACCATTAGATTCAACTCCTCGGCAGCCTCGCGAGAACTTCGAAGCCGAGCATATATGTACTCGGAGCTGTGGCCGGCAACTGAAGTGCGGCAACCCCGAACATCGCTGCCAGGAACTCTGTCACAAGGGCCCTTGCGGTACATGTCGCGATGCTATCTTCGATGAGCTCAGCTGCCATTGCGGACGGACCGTTTTGCAACCTCCGTTACCATGTGGTACGAAGCCTCCGCCGTGTCGCTTCAAGTGCGAGCGACCCAAGGATTGCGGTCATCCTCAACTGGACCACAGCTGCCATCAAGACGACCAGCCATGCCCCAAGTGCGCTTTTCTGACAGCCAAGCCGTGTTTGTGTGGCAAGAGTGTTCTGAAGAATCAGCCATGTTGGCTGACTGAGGTACGCTGCGGTCAGGTCTGCGGACGTACGCTCAAATGTGGGACACACAAATGCCAGAAGCAATGCCACCGGCCTGGAGAATGTGAAGACCCTTGCACTCAACCATGTGGCAAAGAGCTCAGTGTTTGTGGCCACCCGTGCCTGGCACCCTGCCATTTCCCTCAACCGTGCAAAGAAGAGAAGCCATGCCCACACAAGATCTTCGTTACCTGCGAATGCCAGAGAATCAAGCAAGAAGCCAAGTGCAATGCTTCGCGTAACGGCGACGGTAATCTGAAAAAGGTGCTCAAGTGCGACGAAGAATGTGCACGATTGGAGCGTAATCGCGTTCTGGCACTTGCGCTCAACGTTGATCCGGAGCACCAAAACGATCATATCCCATATTCAGATGCCACACTAAACATGTACCAGCAGAACGCAACTTGGGCTGTTACACAGGAGAAGCAACTTAGACTGTTTGCTGCCGACCCGGATCAGAAGCGTCTTCGCTTCAAACCTATGCCCCGTAACCTGCGCAAGTTTATTCACTACCTTGCTGAGGATTTCGGCATGGACTCTGAGAGCATGGATCCGGAGCCGCATCGACATGTTGCCATCTTCAAGACCCCAAAGTTCGTCATGGCGCCTATGCGGACACTCGCAGACTGCGCTAGAAGTCGTCAAATCCAACAGCGTCTTGCCCCTACGCCAGCGCCAGTAACGACTTCGGCCGCTCCCTTGCGTCCTAAGCCCAGCAACACTAACGGAGATCCCTACAACGCGTTCATTATCCTGAGCCCACGCTTTGCACTTACCATTGAAGAGCTCAACCCTATCATCAAGAGCGTACTTGCTACAACATCCTTCAGATGTGAACTAGAGGTTACTTTCCTCCCTAGCGAAGCAATCGCATTGAAGCCACCTCTAGCAGCTCGTCTGAGCATCCCAGAACATGACATGCAGAAAATGCTCGAGTCGATCCAGGCACCGCTAACTCAAGCCATCACGACGCAAGGTATCGGCAAAAATGTTCAGCTCGCGCGTCTTGATTCTTCGCTCAACATCCTCCGTAAGGAATCTGACGTAGGTCCTGGCTCGGGTTGGAGTCAAGTCGCAGCCTCAAAGGGTGTTCCGCTTCGCCAGATCCAGAAGACTACAGGATTCGGTAACAAGGGTGGCTTTGCGGTCCTGAGCTTGAGCAGCAAGAAGAAGAAACAAAAAGAGCCTGTTGAGGAGGTTGCGGAAAATTGGGAGGAAGCTGAAGAGGAAGAGGAGCAGAAGGAGAAGGTTAGCGGGGCCAACAGTGCTGCAATGAGTGAAGACGAAGGGATATCGAAGGACACAGGAGAAGCTTCGGACAGTAAGGCAGTCAGCGGCGAGGACGAAGGCGCGCCAAATGGTGTCTCAGAAGCTTCGAGTAGCATGCCTGCTAGTGATGAGAACAACGTCGCACCGAAGGACGATGTTGCGCTCTCTACTAAGCCACTACTTGGACGCTGGTCAGAGCTGGATGACGAACTAGATTAGCTTTGATGTATGTGTATTATGGATATTGTTAAAAGACTTGACTATCAGAGAGCAGTTTGATATTGTTCGTTGGTTGCCAACAAGTCCTGCCACGTGTTTTACATTATTTCAATCCTTCTCAGCTCTATCGGGTATGTAAGAGACGAAGTTGAACTCTTTTACATCGTCATATCAATTAACCATGAACGCCAGCCCGTCAAGTGTGATTACAGGCCATATTTTGTCCTTTGTCTCAAGGAGCAGACGCCTAACACATGCAACAACACAATTCCCATAAAAACTCCGTTCAGCCCTGCGGTGTAGGAGCTAACCAAGGACGCTCTAGAAGTTATTCTGCTCTCTCTGCTGCCTCTCCGCCTCACCCTCGGACACAATCCTCTTGCCCAGCCACTCAGTCTGAAAGCTTTCGTTCAACTTGGACAAGTCCTGAATAACCAGTTTGCAAGTAGCCATAACAGCTTCCTTGGGTGTGATGGTGCCATCGGTCTGGACGCGGAGTTCAAAGGTAGCGAAGAGTGGGTGGGGGACTTTGTACGCGGCGAACATGACGGCGGGGTTCTTGAGGAGACGCTGCGAGAGGAGGTTGCCGAGGGTGTGGTCTTCTTTGTTGAAGGTGAAGACGGCGGTGTTCGGGACGCCTGGTGCGCGTTAGTCTTGTGAGGGGCGGATGTGGGGAGATGTTGTATTATACTTACGGGTCTCTGCTTTCTCCTCAACCTTTTGCTGACCTTCGTCTAGCAGGAAGAGCTCGAATCTACATTCATCATCGTGGTCAGCTTTGTGTGATACATGGTGGTTGTTTTTTGAGCTGTCGCGCAGTCCACAATTTGGGTTTTGCTCGATGAGTTGTCCGATCTTTGGTGAGAAGGAAGACGTTGGGTTTCGACTCATCATAAGGTATATCCCGTTCGTTCCTTGTGAGGCTTTCGGGCTAGAGTAGTGACTCTCACAGTATCGCATACTTTTGAGGGCGCATATATATGGTGCAGCGGGTCTTTGTGATCAGGTGCCAGTGCCATGCGCTCATGCAAGTGTGTACCATCTTGTTGTTTTCACCCGCTTGTGATGAAGGGACAGAACAAACCGTTTGGGTACGCAATCGAGATCGCGGTGGCCTGGCATTGTGGACTGTGGACTGCGCGTACAGAGAACACCTTGCAGATAGAACGTGAGTTATGAAAGACAAGACATACCTGTCTGGCGCGTTCATGATGCCTGCTCTTTCTTTTCTGGATGCCTATCTACTCTTGCCTGCGTGTATGAGAACACTTGCTGCGGTCGCAAGTGAGGAAGATGCGCGGCGGTTGCAGAAGGAAGTGATCAGAACCAAATAGCAAGAGAAGCAACGATGAGCGCAGTCCGATCGAGGCCGAGGGAGTCTGGAGTAGTTGTGATGGCGTGTGGTGGCCGCTGGGGAAGGCGTTGCGGAGGTGAGGGTGGACTTCCGCGCGCGCGACGTTCTTTGTGCCTTCACCCACCGCCTTCCACGTTCGAAAGCCTCGCGTGGCTTAGTCACCGTAGGGTCCGCGCCCACAGCACCTTGTGTCAAGCGCGTCGATTGAATGAAATATCGTTCTCTACCAACTTGGTTTTGAAATTGTTGCATCCGGTCCTAAATCTAGCAAGAAAAAATTGTTTCTTCAGTACTTCAACTTACCTATACGGTACACAAGTCACGACGATAACATGAGATGAGGATACGCTCCAAAGGTGTGGTGTTTGTATCTCGATGTTATGCTCGAGTTGCATGATATTCAGAAAGCTATAGCTAGTGTAGAAGTCCATCACCAAGACGTGGATGGGTGTCGCTCACAAGAGGCGACACAAAGAGTTTTTTCCCGTCGTACCAACCACTTCCCAGAGCGACTGTGAGAGCGCCGTTCAACGCCACAAACACCATGCTTCCTCATGGGGTGCGCCCGCCGCATTGCAAAAAAGCCAGATTTCTCCCACGCTAGAAGGATACCGCTAAAGGAGGAACATTAAAATTATATACAAGGCAACAGTGTCAGAGCCTCACGGAGGCTCCCTTTCTGCCGATCAGAATTCCTAGGACCGGTTGATCTGCGCTTGCTGCATACCCGGACTTTGTTGCATTTGTGGATTCTGAGGCGTGGCGCTCCGACTAGGCGGTCGCGCGTTTAGTCCAGGACTACCGCCCTGTTGTCTTGCCATCAGCCGTTGTTGTTGGACCAGTTGGGCCTGATAATTCTGTACCGCGTTTGTTTGAGGAGCGTTGGCCATGCCCCCGTTCTGTTGGAAATATTGATTGTTCTGTATCTGTGGAGACGGAGATATGCCTGGGGATCCAGCTGCTGCGCTCATTGCCTGCGTACGTTGCTTAGCCAGGTAACGGGTGAGGTGGTCGGAGGCCTGTTTGGTAACCTGTTCTGGGGTCCATTCCGGATGCTGTACCTTTAACTGGTTCTGGAATGCCAGTAGCTGAGGCATGTGCCCGCTGGATAGCGGTCTTGAAGGAGTTTGCATGTTTCCGTTGCCCTGGTTCATTCGTGGAGATCCAGCAGCATTTGACATCCCTTTCATGGAATTGTTCATGTTTCCGTTCATGGCGCCGCCGTTCTGGTTGGGAACGGGTGCCATCATGTTTGCGTTAGGGATACCGTTCATGCCCATGCCCTGTGTAAGGTTGCTAGCCATGTTGATCTGTTGCTGTTGCAGCTGGAACTGATGTTGTTGGGTGGCGTTAAATTGGCCCCTTTGCATAGCCATGCGCATCTGATCTGGTGGGCCCATGCGCTGAGGGTTCTGCATGTTGCCCTGCATCTGTGCTTGGGGAACGCCCGGTGTGCCCATCGCCATGCCAGACATATTTCCGTTAGCGAAGTTGGCTTGCATTCCCTGTTGAGACTGGTGCGGTCGCGCTCCCATCGCGGAGCCGTTCTGTCCCTGTTGTAAAGGCGGATTAGCCATTTGTGGAGGAACGTTGTTGGTGCCTCCAGGTGTCCCGTTACGCTGCATCTGATTGACACCATTTGCCATTCCTGGTTGCGCCTGTAGTTGGGCCTGCTGCCGTGCCACCATTTGTTGCTGTCTCAAGTCAGAAATGAACGAATGGTTCAATTGTCCATCACTTACCCTTGCCATCATCTCCTGCGCAATGTGCCTCTGCTTGAGCTTCTCTTCGCGTTCCCACTTGAGACGGCTGAATTCTTGCGGCGTGTGGACATTGTTCTTGGGTGGCGCAGGCTCATGGGCTTTCCGAAGCGCAGCAGCCTTCTGAGATTCCGCTTGCTTGTGGGCAGCAGACTCGCGTTTCCTAGCCAGTTTGCGCATACCATCAATAATGGCGAGATGACGGTTTTCTCTCCTTCTCTCCACCCGTATCGGCGTGGTTGTAGGTCTTCTACGCGGTTGACCTGGAGTCTGGCCTTGTTGCTGCTGCTGTTGCTGTTGAGCTTGAAACTGGGCAAATACAGTTTTGTTGGCCTGCTCCAGTCGGCTCTGGTAGGTCCGGAAGTATTGTGTTTTGGACATCTCGGCGGGAAGACCTTCCAATTGTACCCAGCGCTCGAAACATTCCCATGGCGTTCGTCGACCTGACCCAGATACAAACATCGAAGGTAACGACAGTTGCTGTGAAACAAGAGACCAGTTGAAGGTATACTCTTTCACCAACGCCCGTAGCTTTTGGTCTTCTTCCCATAACCACTGAGAAGGCGTGCGATTCTCGAAGAAGGCGATCGTGGGCATGTTGAATTCTGTAGGTGGTCTGAATTGATGGGCTGCTTGTAGTCGGTCGCGAACATGCTTGTTTTCGGCGTTGAATAGGGCAACATTGGTCATCTCTGGTGGCAAGTCGTTGCGACAGAATAATCGACGACCAGGTGTGGATGGCATTGAATGCTCGGCAGACGTACCAGATCGACTAGGTGGCGAAGACGGCTCATCTTCGGAGTCGTAGTCGTACCTGCTACGCTTCTTAGGCGGACCTCGTATCTGAGAGACGAGCTTTCCTGTAACGAACTTGGACACGGGGAGGATTGGTGGCTCCGATAGAGAGAAGGGGCTGGTGTCGCTAGAGCCTTCAAACATTGGGTCGTAAAGAGGCAGTTCTCGGAACATGGTATCACTGGCTGGTGTGCGATCTATCTTCATGACGACGTCGTTGAATCCAAGAGAGAACAGACCTATAGGAGGTGTGGCATTAACGGGAGTAAGGACATCGTCCTCATCACCGTATGACTCACTTTCGGTCTCATGCGTGCTAGAATGGACGAGATCTGGCGTGGGAGCATCGTTCATATCCTCATCGCTGCTTACACGTCTGGCACCCTTCGGAATATAGGTGTTGACCCGTAATGCTGCTTGCTCTTCAGACGTACTGCTTACGTACTCGGCACACCATTCTGCAAAGGTAGCAGCGAGAGCCTTTTTCCATTTCCTCTCCTCTTTGAAGTCCGTCTGCATCCATTTCATTTCAAGGAGTACTTGATCCTGATGGGTAAATGGACGCTCGGGTTCGACTGCCTTTTGGAGTTGCCGTAAAGACCAGCGGTTAGCATTTTGCAACTGGTACACTCTCTTCAGGATCTTGTAGTCTTGGTGCTCACGAATCATAGCAAGCGTGCCAGCGGTCGATACTGTCTTCCTTGCAGATGCCACAAGTTCCTGCAAAGGCACGGACCTAGGTGGGTGGTGAGCCTGATACTTGAAGAGGCCTTCCAGATAATCTCGACTAGAGTCTTCCGAAGCACCTTGAAGCGAAGCATAGTCTTCATTGTAAGATTGCAGAGCTTTCGATGCCTTGGTCGGTGTCTTCTTAGCGAATACGACGGTCGAGATCTCTTGAGATTTCCGACGAGCAGTTCGCGGTCGTGGAGGACTAGTAGATGCCGAGAGGTTGCTTGAGCGAGGAGTTAGCATGGTCTTGGGAGCCGCCTTCTCGGCGATGATCTCAGAGACAGACTTCTGTCGGATTGCGCCAGAAGCAACACGGGTGGTCATTCGCTCGGGATTGGGCATTGAAGATTGCGGTGAGGTCGTGGACTGTGCATCCAGGGAGGGTACGTCGCGCATTTCGATATCAGTATCAGTAGGGGGGGTTGGGTGGTCGGCAGTAGGAGATGTACGTTGTTGGTTAATGGCTTGGTCGGTGTTATCGCGATCCATGGTTGGAGGCTCCGCAGCAACTGTGGTTGGCGTTGGTAACGAGTCAACCGCAACATCATGACCAGTTTTTATTCCAACAGCATCATCCTCTTCTGTTTTTGTCCCAGGCGGAGCATCATCCACACCCTCCGTCAAGGAATGTGCATCTCCGGCAGGCTGTGACTCGCTTAGGCGACTCTTCCCGTCGCGAGCTAAACGTATTGCCTGTTCGTCCTCGATCTGTTTCTCGATATCGGGTGTAGGGGAATCTTCTTCTCTTGCTCGGGCGTTTTCCCTCGCCTCCTTCATTCGCTTCTGTAAGGCACGCTCGTGGTCATCCTTTACTTGCTGCGCGGCGGGGTCAAGGACATCGTCGTTTGGCAATGGTACATTGTTGCGCTCTCTGTAAGTCTCGGAGTCAGGACTAGTATCAGGCGAATGGTGTTGCGCATGTGGTGTCGCTTGAGAGTAAGGCCCGACGGTTGACGATGGGGAGGAAACATCGACGGACGCGTTCGTAGGTGGAATGGTGAGTCGTTCCTCTTCTCTTCGCTCTTTCTCTGCAGCCTTGTCCAACTTCTGTTCCGTCTCCTGCAGCCTAGCCTCTTGAACCTCTTTTGGTGGTAGATGCACGACCTTTGATGGCTTTGGTTTGACATCCGTCGTGTCGTCCATCGCAGCAGCGTTTGTGTCTTCAGTAGTTGGCGATGCAACAGCACTAGGGTCAACCGTAGATGTGTCGGCGGGGAGGTCATCCTGGCTTCCTACAGCCTGAACTGCAGGGGCTGCTTCAAACGGAGTCTGGTTAGCTACCTCGTCTTCTACCGTAGGGGATGCAGCACACGAGGCATCCTTGACGCTAGGGGTGACATGAATGGTATCACTTTGCAGTGATGGTTCGACGGACGGTAAGGTTTGCGTCGCAACAGACGGCGAAGCAGAGGCGGCGCGAAGTTGATCCTCGAGGCTTGGGGTGCCGACAACTGGGGATGGTGACGACTTGATGAAGGACTTGGTTGCGTTCTGGAATGGCAGGGGGGCAGGGAGTGGTGGCTGATGGTCAGTAACGGCCACTGGGAAGGGCAGTGTTGCATCGTTGAAGCGTCGACCTCTGTAGACGCGACCGTGTTAGTGGAACGAACGACGACGACAACAACACCAACACTGGGAGTGGATGTGTCTACAGTGTCTGGGCGCGGTGTATCTTACTGTGAGATGTCATTTTCGTCAAGAAAACGACGTTCGTCCTCGTCAGGTTCGCCATAGACGAAGTCGTCTGCCCTTGGCTGGTGGCCGTTCAGAGCGGCATTGCAGCAGCCCGTGACCTTCCAGAGTGCCCGGAGATGGCGCTCCAATGTTGCGGATGTGAGTCTGGGGACATATCATTAGCACCACCACAACGCGTCAACAAAATAAAACGAGCGATTTTTCCGTGTCGCATGGCTGCATTTAGTCGAACTGATCGATCAAACTGCAAACGCGATGGATAGTCGTCGACTTTGACTTACGCGGCTTCATTTGTCTTCTCCTGGCGTAAGGTTTCCCGTAAACTGTCGAGGGACATATGAAGACCGACGAACGGTGGCCGACATCCGTTATCCACGAGTGCCGCCGTTGTGATGAATTATGGGGGATGTTGGACGCGTTCGTTGATGGAAATGTGTTTTGCGATATGCTGAACTGATGGGCGGGACTTGCGAGAACGTGAGGGAAGGGCTGCGCACGCCGCATACAGGGATGGCCGTGATAAGCCCTGCCTAGTCTGGGTTCATTGGGCCAACATTGGGGACTAGCTCCACCCGGCCTAGTCCTGCCGTCTGCATCAAAAACTTCTGGATCTCCAAAGACGCGACAACTGAATAAAACAACAGCCAATCGTCAGAATGCCACCAAAGAGGAAGAGAGAAGCCGCCGAGAGCGCCGCAAAGGCAAAGGCGCTGAAAAGCACAAAGGAAGCAGTTGCCTCAACCCCAAAGCAGCCGGCAACCAAGGAAAATGCGATCCGCAAGAGCAAGGAAGCTGCAGCCAACGGGAAGATGGACGTGAGTATGAGCAAACTTCAAATCGATTCCACAACAGAAGTTGAAGATGCCGTTCCCGATGTCACGACTGTCCAAGTCATAACTGGCTCCTACGAGAGGGTTCTACATGGATTCGCGGCTGCGCTTCCCAGCAGTCTCTTCACTGGACAAGACGATGCATCGACACCTGAGGCAGACAGGCCAAAAGTGGATTTTACCGACACATTCCTTTTCAACGCCCATGCGTCTTCCATCCGCTGCCTTGCTCTGTCTCCTCTTTCAAATGAGACATCTAAAATCACACTGGCCACAGGCAGCACTGACGAGCGCATCAACCTGTATTCCATCTCAACAGCACCACCTGTCGCCTCCAAGCTCAGACCAAAGCTGCCTTCTCTACATGGCGGCTCCATCACCGAGAACCCCAAGAACAAGGAACTCGGCTCATTACTTCACCATTCATCAAATATCACAGCCCTCTACTTCCCCACGAGGGCAAAGCTTCTAAGCTCCGCAGAAGACAGCACAATCGCTATCACAAGAACGCGCGATTGGACCGCACTTTCAACCATCAAAGCACCGATACCGAAACCTCAGGGCCGACCAAGCGGAGACACAGCCGGACCCGGCGAAGTGCCTTCTGGAATCAATGATTTCGCCGTGCACCCCAGCATGAAGCTTATGCTCAGCGTAGGCAAGGGCGAAAAGTGTATGCGGCTTTGGAACCTCGTAACGGGAAAGAAAGCCGGCGTGTTAAACTTTGACCGCAACATCCTGGCCGCAGTAGGCGAAGGGCGCTTTGCGTCCGGCGAGGGCAGGAGGGTAATCTGGGATAAGGAAGGCGAAGAATTTGCAGTGGGCTTTGAACGCGGTATCGTTGTTTTCAACATTGAATCCAAGCCAAAAGCAAAGATTGCACCAACCCCGAGGACAAAAATCCATCAAATGCACTACTTGCCGTCGGAGTCGCATCAGGCCACGCTACTAGTGTCCACAGAAGATGGCCGCGTACTTCTCTACGATACAGCCACTACAATACCAACCGAAACATCAGAAAAGAACAAGGACGATGTGCCAGCTGCCAGATTAGTCGCTCAAATTGGTGGCCCAGCTGCAGGCATGACGAATCGTGTCAAGGACTTCGAAATCGTATCTCTCTCGCAAACAAGCTTCCTTGTCGTCACTGGTAGCAGCGACGGCACAGTGCGCTTTTGGTTCTTGAGTACGGATGAACTGAAGAGTGACGATGCGGGCAAGGCAAAGGGCTTCACTGCAGTTCAGGTTGGCAAACTGCTTGGGTCGTATTCCACAGGCACCAGAATCACATGCTTGAAGGCTTTCTCCATGACTGGCAAGCCTGATGCAGAGGAGGAGGAGGAGGTCATCGAGAAGGATGGAAGTGCGTCGAGTAATGAAGATGATAGCGAGTAGAACACAGTTGCAGTCGTAGCATTAATGATACCACCCTGTTCTTACGACTTGATCATATCGTATCAATCTGAGTAATGCGGTATACTTTCATATTCATGTTCCATCTTATCCTTCAATCCACCATCCACCATCCATATACCTCCCTCCTTTCTACAGATTCATAGTAACAGTCATACTGTTACTATGTACCAACAGCACAGGCGGCAACCCCTGACATAACACCTCCAGGTCACTAATATACTTGACACTCTCAGCCTCGCTCTCGCACGTGCCCTCCATTGGACTGGGCAGCGTCGTAAACACTACAGCCGTATCCTCGGAATGCTGGCGTATGAGTTCGTTCAAGATAAGATGTTGAGCGCGACAAGGCAGGTCATTGAAGGAAAGAGGAATAGCTTGTTGGGCGGGGAAACCAGATGCTGGAGAAGCGGTACCGGTGTCAGTGGGCCCAAGGTTTGATGATGACGCAGCGGCCGAGTGTGGACTAGATGTGGTTGGCGTGTTGTCTGCAGCGAGCTGGGTGGGTTCGCCGGACGTCATGATGGGGTCTTGTTTGTCAGCTGTGCTGGGCTTGGGCGTGTCGACAAATGTTATTGACGGGCCAGTTGTTTCTTCTGAGGAGATCGCCGTCCGGGGAGTCGGGTTTGACGTGAATTTTGGTAGAGATTGCCGGCGAATCGGAGATGGTTTGACAAAGGATTTCGCAGAGCGTTGTGAGGATGAACTGGCTACACTCTGAGATTTGGATTGCTTTCTAGCACGCAACACGGCCGTATCAGAGGCGGCGGCGTCTGGATGCGGCCTGAGTGGTGTTACAGAATGTGTGGTTGGCCTATCATCTTTTTGCGAATTACTGTCTTTGCGCGAGCTCTTCCACATGGTTTTGCGAAGGTCTAGCTGCCTGGTGAAGAAAGAGCTGCTTGGTGCCGTCTTTCGTCTTCTTGGAGACATCCTCTGCCCGTTGTGATCGCTCTCATCACTCGATGCATCCAGATCGTATTCGTCAAAGTTGCTGCCGCTGACGACAGCCTCACTATCTGACGCCATTGCTTCGTCATCGGCATCATCCTCCCCTCTGCCGGCTGAAGATGGCTGAGTGTCGCTATCGCTATCATCCAGTAGCTCGACAGGTATTCTTTGGCTTTGCATTTTGATTCTCGTCCCATCGCCAAGATTGCTGACCGACGTCCTACTTTTGGCCTTACGTAGCATCTTCCGTAGTGCTGAGAAGCGCTTTGGATTTGTCTCTTGCCTGCCATGTTGAAATGAGGCGATAGGCCAGTTGGTGACAGCTTCAAGGATGTCAACAGTCTGTGCTAGTTCCTGACTAGCGCTCATGCTTTCGGGTTGACGCAGACGTTTGATGTCTTGCCACCAGCGCTCGTCTTCCAGCGAATAGTCGATATCACGACCAGTCTGGTCAAGTTCACCATCGTCTCTTCCGTTGATAATGACTTCGTACATGCTCAAGTCACCAGATGATAACCAGAAGACATGTACTTCAGCCTCTAAATTCGAGTGTAGAAAGTCAGTACATGTCTCAAATGCAATTCGTATGGGAAGACTTACCAATGCGCAGGTTACGTAGCAGTGTCGTGACGCGATCGCGCTCTTCTTCTACATCCGTTTCATACTCAACAAAGACGCAGACTCTCAACTTGTACATGCGTTTCCAAGAAGGCACCGTATGTAAGATACATCCGAGCTGGAGAATCAGCGTGTACGTGTCGAAATTAGTTGTCAGCACATTTTTGCGAAGTGGTTCGTCGCCAGCGGTAGCGATCTCAGCTGACATCTGTATCGGCCACAGATCAATGTACTTCTTTGAGGGATCCTCGATCTCGATATCGCTGAGACCCATGAAACTGAATGCTTTTTGTTTTGCGGTCGGCTTTGCAGGTGGCACTTTGAGTTCTTGAAAACCCTTGCCTATAGCGACGTTTGCCTGCAATCGCAGAATCAAATCTTCGATTACGGTCACGTAGCTGCGTATGGCAACTGCACTCTCCGGCTTCATGGCGTCTGTAGGAAGCATACTGTGAGTATTTCCTGTGACGCGTCGCCTGGCTGCTGCTTGAATCGCTTTTCGGGAGACAGGATGATTTGCAGCCTTGCTAGACGGGCGTGATGGCTGCGGCGAAGGTATGCCAATTGAAGGCTGCGCTTGCCTCAGCTCAGGTAAATTGTAGAAGCCCATGACAACTATGTTTGGTCGCATTCCACCCAGTCCTGCACCGAGTACGAGATTGCGAGCGCCCCATTCTACAGAAGGAGATATAGCGATGTTTACAAACGCTTTGATCCTGGAAAAGTCTATGTATTTCGTCCAAGATTGTTGTTGTCGTCTAGCCTCTGGCACAGCTTCACCAAAGTCGTTAGAGACAATGACATGCCCGAGGACAAAAAGGCCTCCCTTTTTCAACGAATTGCAAAATTGAATCAGCTTGTACTGTCGCCGCGGGTCATTGACAAGAAGCAGAATCTGGGGTCTCCAGAACTTGACATGCTCCTGGCGTAGGCGCAGCAGGTATTTTCGCACCTGGTGATAGATGAGACCTTGACTGACATCACCCCATGGCTTAGGAGGTGTGGTATAGTGAATCAGCAGGAAGATGATCATAAGCAGAGCTACACAGCCAGATGCATAGAAGCCGTCGACGAAGAACATGGTCGCTCCGCATGCGACAGTGCCAATCAAAGCTGTGGGCCAATTGAAATAGTGAAATGAGGGCCGGAAGTTCGGAGCAGATCCGATCTTGAGTAAGAAACAGGCCAAGTTGGTGACTAGAAACGTCATGAGATACGTCATTGTGATGAACGAAGCGATTTGGTTGATATCGGCAAACATTGTGATTTGGGCAATGATGAAAGTGATGATGATGGCGTAGATCGGCTCGTCCGATTTCTTTGTTCCCTGACTAAAGAGAGAAAGTCCCGGGATCAAATGGTCGCGAGCAAGAGCCTGGAGAAGTTTGGCGGAGCCAATAACACCCATGAGCACCGAGAACAGTGATGTTGCCATCTCGCCAGCAAGTACGACCGCGCCGGAGATGTTGGTCAGCTGGATGACATTTGTGTTGTTGTAGAAGGTTTCGCGTGCTATCGATGCCGC